GAGAGAGAGAGAGAGAGAGAGAGAGGGAGGGAGAGCAAGGTGATGCGACGCGGAGAGAGAAAGGAGGGAAAACGTTATGGAAAATGATGAAAGAGCGGTGGAAGAAGAGAGTCGACGAGGAGGAGGAGGAGGAGGAGGAGGAGGAGGAGGAGGAGGAGGAGGTAGAGAGGAAAGTGTGGAGCGGTGGAGGAGGAAGCGACAGAAGGCAGGTCGTCGACCCAGGGAGTAGCGTTCCTAGCAGAATAGCTCTTTTGCCAGGGCGAATGTGTGTCAGAGCCTCAGCCCCGGCTGATTCGCCGGCGCGCCTCGCCTGCTCGGCTGCAGGCTCGTTTCGAATCGGCACGCACGCACGCACGCACGCACGCACGCACGCACGATCGAATAGAAATCTTCGACACTACCTGTCTACATCATAGAGCGTGGCATATTTGCGAATTGTAATGACGAAGAGGATAGTAACGACGGAGGGGCGAAGAGCTGACACGAAAGCAGAGCGACTGCGCGAAAAGTAGAAGCGAGTGAAGCCCTTCTTCACTTGTTTGCCTCGCAAAGTAATTTCTTCAGTTACTTTGTAGGCCTAACTAATCGGGCCGGAGGAACAAATGCGAGAGAATACGAAAGAAGAGAGAACGACGACGACGACAACGACTCTCGACGATTCGCGTCACACTTGGGTGAAAGCGGAAACTGTACTCTGTAGAAAGATGGTTTCGCGTTGGTTTCACGCTTTCTCGTAAACCAATGAATTGCCACTTTACCTCAACCACCGGCGATTTTACCACCGTATCAAGCGTATTTCGTTAGCTGATTTTGTCGTTTGATTATTTAGACTGACACTGATGCTGACAATTACGCGTCATTACAATAACGCAATAATTAAGAAAGACTCTTTTCAAGAGAACACAGTCAGGTTGCTTGAATGAACCTTGAAACCTTTTGAAAAAGAAACAAAACTTTTTTTACTTTGAAATTCAAGACCAAGATGAATTTTCTTTGCATGTATCTCCATCGAATCGAAGGGGCAAACTTTTCTTTCCACCCTGTTGCGTGTATAGATTGGCACGCGAATACGATCGATCATCGAGCGCCTGTATAAATGGAGAAACTAAAGAGAGAGAGAGAGACGACACGCAAAGTCGTTGGGTCTGTCGTGGCGGCGATGACTCCCTTGACCTTCTTCCTCGTAACTAGCTGCTTCGCTGCATAGCCTTACGTACGCTTACCTTTTTCGTTTGACAGAGCTTTCGATCTCGCAGCAGCAGGTGGATCCTCCTCCAGACGTTCAAACGCTCGTTGCTCTGTATCCAGGCAACGCCGACTATCTCCGGATGATTGGTCGCCCGCTCGTCCTCGAGGTACCTCTGAAAAACCGATGGAAAACCGATGGCGTTAAACGCGCGCGTAGCGAGCTGCTAGCCGGCTCGAAAATCGATCGAATAGCTTCACTCACTCGTATAGCTGCTTCCGCTTGGGCCAACGCAGTCGTCGTCGTCGTCGTCGTCGT